TCCTGGACAGAAGAGAAACATCTTCAAACGTCCAGTGGATTGTTTTTAACTTTTTTGGAAGACTCTGACCTGGATGACTGAGAATCTTCACCAACATGATAAACTACTAATAATATCTGCTCAGAGTTTCTCTCATCTGTGGAACGTCAATAAATCTGTAGATCAGTGGCATCCAGATTCAGTCCATAGGGTTGCTATCTGCCATGATGGATGAAAAACAGCAACAGCGGATTTAAAAGCTATGCTGAGCTAAAAGGAAGAAGGAACTAAAAGCTTCCTGGAAATGGAAGGAAACATATAAGTACTCCCACAAAAAAAATGATAGATACTCGAAAGATGTACTTAAGTAGAGTAATGAAGTAAATGTACTTTGTTATTTTTCATCACTGGATACGAGCAACCGAGTTTTGCAACAATTAGTTCCTGTTGAGCCTTTAAAATCTGTATTTTGTGAATTTTCTTTCTGTTTTCCTGCAGCTGGACTGGAGAAGCTGCAGTAGAGATGTAGTCCCCTAAAGGAGCGAGCTTACAGTGACCCTTCACCTCTGGCCCGTTATAGCCAACGCTCTGCTGCTCTCCTCCTTGGCTCCAGAGCGGAGCATGGATCTGCTCCTCCTGCAGGTTTCCTCCTCAGATCCTCCCCCGGTCATGTAGGAGCTCCAGAACACCTCCTCACTGCATGTTGAAGCAACAGGAGTGGAGCTGGTCCCCCTCCATGCCATGATGTCAGAGGAGCCACGGTAGCTGAAAGTGGTGATTATGTTTATGCACCATTAGAGGAATGTGTTCTCACAGTTGCCTCAGTGTGAACTAAAGCCTCGGAGTCGGACAGGCAGAGAAGAAGCAGCATTTGGCCGCTGGGGAGCATCATGGATTTTAGGGTTTTGCTCAGAGTCCCAGAGCTACCATGACCTTCAGGCCTCTTTGGGATCCAGATCGCTGCTCTCCAAGCCACAGGCCATCACTCTGGGCCAGACCTGTTAGAACCCCCCCGGGGATTCTGGGTTTTCGCTGTGGTTGGTGGGGCTAAGAGGAGAACTGCCCCTTTGCTTCATCGGCCTAAACAGGCTGTAGATGCGGGGAGTCGGCAGTCTTCCTCTCTGTTTTTCTTCCT